AAACTGGTCAAGGAAACGATTGAGGCGTTTAATTGGGAAATATTTTCGCATGCGGCTTACTCACCAGACTTGGCTCTGTCCGATTACTACTTATTTGCATCGATGGGCCACGCACTTGCTGAGTAGCGCTTCACTTCTTACGAAAATGTACGAAAATGGCTCGATGACTGGTTTGCCTCAAAAGAGCAACAGTATTTTTGGTGTGGCATCCACAAATTGTCAGACAGATTAGATGTCTCATGGCACACATCGGATAACGCTAATGCTGGCAGTTAATTGATTTAAAATTATTCTTATATCTAAGCAATTGACCTATATTCAGCAAATATTAATGTAATGTTTTCAAAAAGGTTTAAATAATTAATAAAAATGTGCAAATCAAGAATTTTTATATCGAATCGAATCCATGAAATTTTACTCGAATTCGAATCGAATCGAATGAAATCGAATTGAATAATTAAAAAATTTAACATGACTATTAAACATGCAAATAATGATGGAAGATTTTAATGTAAAAGGGAATATTGATATTGTAATATCATCTTAAAGTAAAATATATATTTAAATATTTAAAGTAATTTATGATTAAGTTATTAATTATAAGTTAAGTTAATTACAAGTTAAGAGTTCAAACATACATGTCTAGATGGCCCGTTCTGTAGCTGATGCACGCAAACGATAATATATTTGATTCCTATTCGTATTATTCGGATTCGAATCATAGGGATTCGAATTCGAACAGTTCACACATCTCTAGTAATTAACACATATGCATCCCCAATCTCACCACTAAACTACTCTCACAACCATCCTCCAACACACATTATCTATCATCCCCTTTTTCATACATGAATATAATAGTGATCTCCAGTTAATAACTTCAAAATAGCTTATCTAAAATTAATAAATTTGTAATATTTTAAAAAGAAAATCTCAAAACGAATATGTTAAGAATATGTAATATTGCAATACAAAAATAGAGAGTCCTTCATTTGGAAAATTGAAAGTGACCTTCATTTAAGTTCGATACCACCTAAAGTCAATCTAATAAAATCAATAAATAAACCTCTTTAAACTCTATAACATTTGTATATATTGTTTTTATAAAACTATTTATTTATAACTATTTATTTTATAAAATATATATACATTTTTTTTAATATTTCGCCGTCCTGGAATTTTTTATATATCTTATATATATTAATATTTTGATTAATATAAAATATTTTATACTTTTAACATAAATAAATCTTAAGAAAATGTAAGCAAATATAGAGAATTTCACATAATTTTCCAATATCTTTTATGCATAATTTTATAACTTTCTTCTAAATTTTTTTATTCCGAGATATATATAGGGTTGAAAATTAAGCGAAAATGGAATTAATTATTTTATTCAATTCTTCTTGTCGAGACAATTATAATGATACAATACATATGGTCAATTTATGTGGTGATTATGACGATTAAAATGACCAGCGAAGTTAGGTACTCTAAAGTGATTTTAATTTTTTATTTTTTTATTATTCAAATGGCCAATATGCAATCGCTCTAATAGTCAAAACATATTATAAATATACTGGATGCTGTCCTCAGCCAATCAATGATTTCTAGTTAAACAGTTTATTAATAATGATTCATATAGATATGGATGGGAAAAGACATACTAAAACCGATAATTATTCATATATGAGCACTATAAATAATTCTGCTAATTTTCAACGGGTTTCCATCAAACTTGATATACTCATGTTTTTTGGATCGCAGACTATAAATACGAAATTAATAATGGCGGATTTAGTATGTGTGTGGCGGCGCTCAATTTTGTTAATTTTTGAAGAATACCAACGTAACGGGTGATGAAAAATGGATTTATTTCGAAAATCCCAAGGGAAAAAAATCATGGTTATCACCTGGCGAAGGCGGCCCATCGACTGCAAGGCCAAATCGCTTTGGTCGCAAGACCATGTTCTGTGTCTGGTGGGACCAGGTTGGTGTCGTATATTATGAACTGTTGAAACCTGAAGAAACAGTTAATACTGATCGCTACCAACAACAAATGATCAATTTGAACTGTGCATTGATCGAGAAACGTCCACAATACGCTCAAAGACATGATAAGGTGATTTTGCAGCATGACAACGCGCCATCTCATACAGCAAAACCAGTCAAAGAAGTGTTGAAATCACTTGGATGGGAAGTTTTATCGCACCCGCCGTACTCTCCAGACCTGGCTCCATCCGACTACCACCTTTCCGCATCGATGGGGCACGCACTTGCAGAGCAGTACTTCGCCGATTTCGAAGAAGTTAAAAAATGGCTCGATGAATGGTTTAGCTCAAAGGAGAAACAGTTCTTTTGGAATGGCATCCATAAATTGCCTGAGAGATGGGCAAAATGTATAGAATCAAATGGCCAATACTTTGAATAAATATATTTTAACTATCCATTGTAAATAACGTGTTTTCTTTAGCGAAAAAACCGGAAAGGAATTACCGACACACCTGGTATTTACTAAAATTGATATTCCAATTTCATTTTACGTGAAATCTCACACTTTTTCGGATCGTTCTGGTAACGAACTTGCAATCGAAATTAAAAAATTCAAGATGGCAGATTTAATATGGCGGCTCCAAATGTCTAATTATTACTCTATTTTCTGGAGAAAATTATATTTAATATGTTCATGTCTTTTTTTGTAGTTGATGATGAATACAGTTGAAATTGTAAAATTGGAAATGGCGAATATTATAATATATGGCAGCTTCTAATAACTAACGGTATTCCACTATTTTTACATTTTTACTTGCATTATTAGTAGCATGACTCTAGTGAAAACCTCAGATATATGACAATCATTATCTGCGACAAAAAGGTATACTTTGACATTGATAGATAATATAGTAAATTTTGACACTTTTTCATAATGGAATATCAAAATGAACCACTTGAAGCCGTCATTTTAAATTTCGTAATTTCGACCTTGGATTCGTCATCACCGACCTGAAAAACATGAACATGGAATGATTTTATTTTCTCCATGATAGAATATCAAAGTTAGCTAATTAAAACCACTATTTTAAATTTTGTAATATTGATTCTGAATTTGTCATTAGCAACACAAAAAAATCCTTATAGATAAGCTTCCATATAAAATACAAAATTCTCTCTCACCGGTTTTGGCACAAAACGGGTTCACCAGTGAACCAGTTAATGATCCACGAAACTTATCTTTACGATCTAGAAAATACGATTATATCTCTTGATAAACATCACTTTTTATTCGTTAATCAATTAAAATAAAACAAGTTCATTAGGTTTAAAAGAATTTTATTGCAGAACTTTATCAGAGACAGGGAAGGGAATTCTAAAAAAAAACTAAAAAATCTAAGAAAAATTTTTGCTTAATTGTCAATATACCTCTTTAAGTTCTTTTTAAAGAATTCTTTATATATCTAAATTATGAAAAATTATTGTAACATTTAATTAATTATTAATTTGATTTTTGGAACATTATACGAAATTTTTCTATTAAAATTACTAAAAATATTTAATATTTACTACTTAAAAATTGAAAGTTAAATTTTAGTAAAAAAATTAATTCAAGATTAAAAAAGAAAAGGATGTATACAGGGTAATTAGCTGCCAACTCGAAGTGTGAAGATAGATTGAGTTGAAACAAACATAAAAGTCCCATACCGTTTTGCGAGATTAATGACAGAAATCTGAGGAGTGGGAGCGCGCGGACGTAGATGATTGGAGAAGCGTTGCAGTTGCTCAGGGCCACAGTCGATCGGCCCAGTCGATCGAGCAACTGTTACCGGTGCACGGAGAGGAAAAACAATGCGCCGCTATTCGTTGTTTTATCTCGCTGCACCTACATCTCGTCGCACGTCGCCAACAGTTGCTGAGTCAACTGAGCCGCGTTGTAACTCGAGAGGCTGCAACGCTTCTCCAATCATCCATCTTAGCGCGCGCTCATTCGTCAGATTTCGGTAATTAATAACTCGATAATTATCGCGAATCTTGCAAAACGGTATGGAACTTTTATGTTTGTTTTAAACCAATCTACCTTCAAACTTCGGCTTGACAGCTAATTACCGGATACCCTGTATAATTCTTGCTACATAATTTTATTGATTTAAATATTTGGAACTTCCTTTTTTGTTTTTTGTGATATCTTTAAACAAACAACTTTCTGCCACTGTATGTACATACATTTCATTCTGTGTGAGATATACAGGATGGTCCAGTAACTATTAGCACCTTGAATATCTTCGAAACTACGAGGGTCAGGAAAAATTTGTCCAACAGAAGTTACATCGTACAGAAAGAGTCATCAGATGGTAATTACGAAATTTTTGTGATAGAAAGATTATAATATTGCCTCGATGTCAACGGTCATCACTTTGAGCACCTGTAAACGTAAGCGACCTTAATGACCTTGAATGACCTTGTGTTGTATTCGTCTTAGCAGCCGCTATCAAATGGTAAACATAAAAATATTGTATTCCATTTAAAAAAATCAAAGGTGACCTTCATATCTTGGAAGCAACTCTACCTACAAAAAATTTGTAACTATCATCTGATGACTCCTTCTATGCAACTTCTGGACAACTTGGACAAATTTTTTTCTGACACTCATAGTTTCGAAGATATTCAAGGTGCTAATAGTTACTGGACCACCCTGTATAATTGTTTAAGAAATATAGATGTTTATATGGAAATATGAACATATTTTGTATATTTTGTATATTTTGTTTTTTATATTTTATACAGAGTAGATATAAAAATTATAAAAATATATATTATGACAATATATTTATACAATATAAACATTTAAAAATTACAAATATATAAATAAATAAATTATTACATCTGATGTATACACCACCATTAAATATATGTTTGAATAAATATTTTTCATCTTCTATGTAAATGAAATTTCATATGCTATTTTATTATGATTATTATTTACTGATACTCTTTTTTTTTTCTTTTCAGAACTATTTCATACCGAACGTTCCCATGTTCGCGCGTTAAACGTGCTTTTGCATGTCTTCCATGAACCGTTACTGGAGTCCCAAGTGCTGCCATTAGATCAAATACAATTACTTTTCTCGAATCTGGACGAGATGCTAATGATCCACTCGCGTTTTAATCAATCGATGAAACGGAAGAAGAAGGAGAATCCGTGTGTGGGTGATGTGGGTGAGCTTCTGCTAGAAATGTTCGACGGTGAGGGCGGCGAGGCATTCGAAAGAGCCGCGTCGACCTACTGTGCTAAGCAGCAGGTCGCACTAGACGCTCTACGTGATCGTCGACGTAAGGATTCCAAGTTGAATTCTTTCCTGAATGAAATTGAAGCAAATCCACTGTGCCGTCGACTTCAACTAAAAGATCATATACTTACCGGTATGCTACGGCTCACTAAGTATCCGTTGCTTTTTGAGAATCTCGCCAAATATACGCCAGACAGTAATGAAAAGGAGAAAATGGCTGTGCTGCGAAGCCTCGAACGCAGCAAGGAAATCCTAAGTTGCGTGAATCAGGCAGTGAAGGAGGCTGAAGATCATCAGCGACTTACCGAAATTCAACGAACAATCGATCGATCAGCCTTCGACAAGTTCGATCATCCGACCGTACAGGAATTCAAGAATCTCGACATTACGAAACGTAAGCTGATCTATGAAGGACCTTTGCAATGGCGACGCACCGAGCCAAATCGCTCAATGCCGAATCGTTCAGTGCCAAAGCCGGTGGATTTGCATGTAGTATTACTTGACGATACAATATTCTTCCTGCATCGACAAGACGATAAATATCTGTTAAAATTTATCAATACGACAAATCAAGCGGGTAATTCTGTGCTTAGTCCGATCGTCAAACTATCCACTGTTTTGGTGCGTCATAACGCCGCTGAGAAAGACTCCTTATATCTGGTTAATACCTCGCAAAATGGCGCACAAATGTACAATCTAGTAGCGCCATCTTCTGCGGAACGCAAACTCTGGTGTAAGCACATTTCTGAAGCTGTGGAGGCTTATAAGGCACGTGATCGTCAGGGTAGAAGACCGACACCGCCCACTGTTCTCCCGGAAGAGCCAACGAACGTAATAGAAGACGTATCATCACCTGCTATCATGGAAGCAGACAATACAGCCGATGACAAGGATCAACTGCAGGATCGAGAGTTGCGAGAATTTGGGCAGGATGATGCTGTTACTATTACTTCCACTACTGATTCTGCTTTTGTTGCTGCTGCTACCAGCAGCACCACCAACACCACCACCACTACCAGTACTACTACTACTACTACTGCTATTACTATTATTACTACCACTACTACTGCTACTGCTACTATTACTGCTACTATTACTACTACTACTACTACTGCTACTTCTGTTGCTGCTGCTGTTGCTGCTACTAGTAGTAGTACTACTATTGTCGATATGCAAGAGCATAACGAGAAAACACCAGATTCTTCTGCTACAGAGACTTCTACAAGCGAACACACGCAACAGCGAATGCAACAGCAATCGGCTGAGTCATCAACAACAGGTTGTACTCAAAAGATAACAAAATTATATTAATGAAAAAATTAATATTTAACGATCTGATATTATAGGCTTATGCAATGTGAAGAAATGCTTAATTTAGCTTCCAGGTTAGTGCTATATCCATTACGGGCTTGTTTCCAATGTTTCGTGAACATTAATTTACTCCTTCAGGAAGAAGAACGATCCCTGAAAGAACTAATCTTTCAGGACGTTCCTCTCTCTGGAAAAATAAATAGAAATCAGGGTATGTTTCTTCCGGATGGATATCGCGTCGTAATTCAGCTTTGTGCCGACGTTTCGCGAACATTGCAGCTTACATCATCAGGACTAGGAGCTCCTAGTCCTGATGATGCAAACTGCAATGTTTGCGAAACATCGGCACAAAGCTGAATTACGACGCAATATCCATCCAGAAAAAACATACCCTGATTGTATCAATGGCCGCGAAAGTCTAAAAACTAATAAATAGAAATATTCACAAAATGGCAGAAACAAATTCACGATGGACGCGGCATTCATCCGGAAACAAGATCAAGTATATATTAACATATTTTAACATGTTTTATAAATATTCATATATCAAAGCCACCTTCAATATCCTTGATATATGTTATCCAGGTAATTTTAAAAGAAGCCCATTTAACGCTCATTATTTAAAAAAGTTGCAAACAAAAGAAGTTACAAGTACATAATTTTTATACAATATATACACTAAAACTAATTTGTATGTGGAAACAACATTGAAAAAAGTAGTATATATAAAAATTTCTATCTTTATCATATCATAATCATAATAGACTTATTGAACATAGTATTTAAAAAAATGATTTATTTAATATAGAATTTGGAAAAATGAAAGATTTAAGCAATAATTTAATCTAATCTGAATCAATGTAATTTTTTAAAGATTATTTTAAATAGATAAATATTTAATAATATATATGAATATTATAGAAAGTACATAGTTATGAATAACAATTGGCTAACCTTAGAAATTGCATTTTGTCAAAATATTATTCGAATATTTTGTCTTAAGAATTGATATTTACTATATACTATCTATAGGACGTCTAGCGCATACTATATACTAGCGTTTTAATGCTCATGTGCATGTAGAATATATCAAACTGAACAATAAGCTCACTACAATTTTGCAGACAACCATGTAAATTTTGAAATATTAACGAAAAAATTTTGAAATATTGACGAATTAGCACGTGCAATGCAGTGGAATAAACTCTGTTGATACAATTACGTAAAAAATGGTTGACCGTGTAATTCTCTTAGCGGCGATCAGCATTGGCTGACAGCAAAAAACAAAGAAAAGATGCGAATGGAACGTGAACAATTTTTTTTGTAGTTATACCGATCACTGCCAAAAAACTAACAAGAAAATTACGGTAACCAGGCGGAGTCACTGATTTTGCTGAAAGAATAATGAGTAAAAAGTGTTGATTTTGGCTCATCGGGCCAAATGGGGAACGAACAAAACACATTATTCCTATAGGATTTTGACCTGCTGAACACGATCTCATTGTTAGTTTTCCTCTAAACCCTGGGGAATATGTTCAAATCCGAGGATTTATCATCCAATAATCGAATGACCCGGAAAGCCTTTATGGAAACTTTGAAGCTATTGCAAACTCGTATGTTAGCTAAATTAGCTGGACAGTTTAGATTTTCGAATTAAAAATATTTTTTATTTAGTAGGTGTTCTCTTTTTATGTAAAATTTGCTGACAAATAATATACACGGTGTCACAGATTACCAGTATCACTCGATTTTTTTGTAATCGCGACATTTTAGGGAAAAATATTTCAGACAAAAGTTACATGGTTTCAAAGGGAACATAACAACTATATCATTTTGTTTATAAATGGCGCTATTTTCGAGTTATTTACTGATCATTACTTTTTTTAAATGGAAACTCGAATTTTTTATTATATCATCTTTTTCTACCAAATAATTTTAACAACTTTTGTCTGAAACATTTTTTTATTTGCCTAATATTTTTTGAGATATTTGTTATAAATATATATATTATAGGAAAACTCTGTAACTTTTTCAATATATAACTTACGATATCTCGCTAACTATTTGTCGGAAGAAAAAATGGTATTAGATTTTTTTACTCTGATACGTTATCGGGCTAGCTAGCTAAGCTAGATACGCTCTGATTCGGAGGGGATCCGTTCCTGAGCACTTCGTTCCAATCCTCTCCGTAACCTCCTGCAAGAGAACGCTCTTTGTAGAGAGACCTCACTCTTCCACTTATCAGTTCCGACGGTTTCCTTGTTAGAAAAGTCTGCAAAGTTCTCTTGGCGGTCTTACAAATCCAGGAAGGTTTTTTGACAAATATAAAATCGTTCAGAGCGCTCTCGCTCTCATAAATAATTAAACGATAAATAAATAAACGAAATTCAGTCAACTACTTGTGAACCATTCCGTGTGACGGAGCAGAATCCCCATAATACTTTTTTTAGTTTTTCTTCGGTTTATTTAATGGTTTGGAAATTTACTTTTTTCCATTGTAACAAAAAACAAACTGCTTTTGAACGCTGTTAAAAATTTTTCTATTTGACAGATCTACTTGAAATTTATTTGAAATTTTATATTTATATTTAAATAAGATAGCAAATGTCAAAAATAAAATTAGACGTGCGATTTGAACACCATTTCTTGTCAAAGTCACTGACTTATCAAACAACCTTCGTATAATACATATCGCATATTTATCTTATGACTATGTGACAATAGTGTGAAACAACTTTCTTTTTAAATTCTTAAGTGAAGCATAAGGAGAACAACTATTCAAGTTACTAACTTTAACTGTTAATTACCTTTTAATAAAAAACAGACGATGTTTATGATCTTCTAGTAATAAATTATCCAAACTAGGCTATTTGTTGTCAAATTACAAGGTCTAATTCAAGAGAGAGAAATGTATATCTATATAATATAATCTATTTTTTTTCTAATATATTATATCTTAATTAAACTAATATAAAATACAAAACAAAGAGAACAAAATTAAGAAGAGAATTGACTTGTACAAATACGAAATAGAAATATTTCTAATCGGTAGATTTGTTCGCTATTGTCTCGCACACATTTCAATTAGAGTAAAGTTGTTGTCCGGTTTCTAAAGATAATTTTAATATAGATCAAAATAAAAATGATTAGATCTGACCATGTATTTCTAAATATTTTCAAAATTTTTAATATTTTTTTAATAATGAGTGAAATCTTTTAAAGGCCACTATCGTTATAATTTTGTTAACATATGTCAATGTAAGATCATGATGCGGAGAATAATATAAATATTTACCATATTTTTTGTGAGATATGGTAAAATTAGATAATAAAATATGGTAAAAGATATGGTAAAACGATAATATTCTTCCATGATTGTTAATATTTCCCTTTTTTTATAATATATAGGTATGGCGGAAGCATTGCGGATGGTCACGTGTACTCAGTTTTCATTAATAGATCCCTTAGAAGTTCACGTGGAAGTACCACCGGTGCATATTGCAGAACCAGTTTTTACACCAATAGGTATAAACTTCTTTTTTCTATCATTTTAAATTTAATCTAATTTCTTAACACGGTTATAGAAATTAATAATGTTTATTGCTGGCAACATTTTTTATAAAATTTGAGTGATATTATAAAAGAAGTTATAAACTATATCAATTACTAACATAGAAATGTGAAAAATAAAATATTTTTATAAAAAATTTTATACATATACATAACTTTTTATATTTAATTTAATAATTGCAACATTGAAGTTATAAAACATTAATAATATAAAAATTACGATTTTATAACAGGACGATTTTTTAATAGAATGAGAATTTGACAGTAACAGTTATGTGAATATTTGTAATTTTTCAGAATGCTTAAGACGAAAGGACGAAATAATAAAACAAGCTTTGCTCGAAAAACAATTGTTAATGGCGGATATATTAAATATTCCAAAAGAAGATTTTGAACACGTAGCAGATATGGCATCTGAACCATCCACCGTGGAAAAAGAACCTGTTGAACTCATTCTGGCTGCTATTAATCAAAGTATTTATCTTTAAAAAAACAAATATAATTTTAGCAATTTCGGGAAACAGATAAATATGATATTACATCATTTGCCTGTTGTTAAGTTACCGACTATCATGTAATATTATCTAATGATATTCATTTCAAGAATATTATCGGTAATTTCAACCGTAATAGTAATATATAATTTATGTACTATTTATATTATAGCGTTTATTTGTGTGTTAGAATTATGTTTATTAGATTATTAGCTAATGAATTACTGTATGTATTACAGTATGCTCATAATTTATTTTTGCCGACAGCGGATCAGCTAGTGGGAATATTGAATTCCACATTGAATGTAAGTGAAACGGAAACGGTATTTTCATCACGTGGAACATCAACATTATCGTCTCCCGCATGTGAAGCTACTGGTTGTCCATCATTACGAAGTCATTTTCATCCTCAACAATCAGTTATGGGTGTAATGCAACCAATTTGCCATTATCTCACATCCCAACTCTCACAACTGTCACAACTTCTGGTAAATATTTTATAAAAGTGCTTTTATCTTTGTTTTATATTAATGTTCCAGATATTTTTATGATAGAATAAAATAAATAAATATGGATAACGCAAAAAATATCTATTTGAAAAAATAATAGAAATATGAATTTTTCTTTGAACTTAATATTCTGTTAACATACTTTTAGAGACAATCACTGCAACACGACGAAGCATCGCTGCAATTAATTTAGAAATGCAATCTTGTGATAAATTTTGCCATTGATTTTGCAAATCCTGTCATAATTCTTACTTATTTGAGTGTTTTTTTAATTTCCTGTGCATAGTTTAAGTTCTTATCACAAATGATTAATTGTATCAGGTGTAGTAAAAAGAAATCTATTATTTTTGCATGAAATTGAAGGCTTTAATTACCATAGTTAGAATGATCCGATTTAGGTCAAATATGCGCCGTTTTGTTCGATAACTTGTTGCCATTTTGAAGGTAATTTCATTATGCCTCTCTCATAGAAGCCCTCGTCCCTATTGGCAAAAAATTGAAACAGTCGATTTTCACAAGCCTCTCTTGAAGCGAATTTTTCACCAGCAAAATTGTTCGCCATGGACAGGAAATTAGATGGTAATCACTTGGTGCCAGGTCCGGACTATAAGGTGGATGCATAAGAACCTCCCAACCAAGCTCCCGGAGCTTCTGGCGAGTCACTATCGATGTGTGTGGCCTGGCGTTGTCCTGATGGAACACAATTCCTCTCCTATTGGCCAAAGCTGGCCTCTTCTGGGCGATTACTTCCTTCAGATGGTCCAATTGTTGACAGTACAGTTCCGAGTTAAGAGTTTTGCCGTAGGGGAGCAGCTCATAGTAGATAATTCCCTGTCAATCCCACCAAATACACAGCAAAACCTTCCTGGCCGTCAATCCTGGCTTGGCCACCGTTTCCACCGGCTCACCGCGATTCGACCACGACCGTTTTCGCTTGACGTTGTCATAAGTGATCCACTTTTCATCACCAGTGACCAACCGCTTCAGAAATGGGTCGATTTTGTTGCGATTCAGCAGCGACTCGCAGATGGAAATTCGGTCCATGAGGTTTTTTTGCGTTAACTCGTGTGGCACCCATACATCGAGCTTCTTTTTGTATCCAGCCTTATTCAAATGGTTCCAAACGGTTTTTTGTGCAATCTTTAGCTCTTGGGCAATCGAAATAGTACTTACATGACGGTCGGACTCGACAATGTCCATGATTTTATCGATATTTTCGACAATTGGCCTTCCAGTGCGTGGTGCATCTTTGACATCGAAATTACCGGAACGGAATCGACGAAACCAAAATTGCGCGTGATTGGCTGTTACAGTATCAGGACCATAAACACTATTCACATTTTCAGCCGCCTGGCTTGCGTTTTCGCCTTTATCGAAGAAAAACTGTAAAATATAGCGTATTTTCTCTTTACTAGTGTCCATCTTTGACGCGCGCTCAAATAAAACTGAGTCAACTAATCACAAAACTGTCAGAAAAGTTTTTTTAGTACGAAATCTCATCTTTCTAACGCCATCTAGTGGAACCCGATCGGACTTATACAACGCGAGATACAGATAACTAAAGCCATCTATTGGAAAAATAATGGATTTCTTTTTACTACACCTGATATTTAAATCCGGTGATTACGATAACTAATCAAGAATTCAGATTTCTTAGCGACAAAAAATTCTTTTATTAATTTTGATGAGTGTTTGGGATCATTATCTTGTTTGAAAATCCAACGACGTGGCATTTTGCGAGTTGCATATGGAAACATATGCCGTGTCACTATATTTCTAGTACTCTTGATCTCGACCAATGGATCAACGTCATAGGAAGATGATCCCCAAACCATCACTTCCACCATGTCTTACGATAGGAATTTGACATCTTGAGTTATATCTTGTGCGTATCGGATGTCATACTTTCGACCGTCACTTCCAAACAACTAAAACTTCGACTTTCGTTTCATTTTTTTTAGACGTCGAGATATTGTATTCCGCCTAACATCTGCAAGATCTCATAATTCTCAAAAAATATCCATAGCAGTTTTAACATCCACAGTTTTAATATATCGATATTTTTTCTTTTTTTATTTTTTTTATAATTTTATCAATGCGTTTTGTAGTTTTGCGAAGTCTACCGTTTCGTAATTTATCAACTAAAAGATTGGTCAACTTATATTTGGCAATAATTCTATTCACTGTACTTTAATCAATTAATAAAGAATTAGCAATTTCACAAGCAATTTTTCCTTGTTGAGGAAGATTCATTGAATCGTGTAATTGAAAATTTGTGAGTTTCAGCATCGTGGTAAGCAATACACTGAATTTTAGTTAAAGCAAATACTTACGAAAGAGTTTCATAAGAAAAGTAAACAAATCGCGCTTGTAGAGTCAAAATAAGAACACAGCAATACTTTTGAACGTAGGTAAATATTCTTCGACTACATAAATAGAAATCATGTAATTAAAAAATTCTTGTCATTGCATTATCACTTATATAATTGTTATATTAACTATTCTAAATAAATAATTTTGAGAAGAATTTAATATCTTATAGTATATTTAAAAAAAAATTTGGCTCAAAACTTTTGCATGTCATTGCGTGTGTGCGTGTGCATGTGCGTGTGTACACACAAGAGAAAAAAAATTGATCCTCATTTAACATTACCGCACTAACCGCGCCGACACTTTATATGTATACCTGTTCTTAGCACAACCGGTTAAATGACCGCTTTTGAAATAAAGATCATATTTTCTGAATCGGACGAAAATAATTATAAAATTAATAAGAAATGATAACTTTTAGATAATAATAAAAAATTATTTTTCATTTTAATTTTTAACATGAACAGAATATAACAGGTGCATAACTTCAAAGATAAGTAGTAAATGTTTTATTCTTCTTTTTCGCATCTTTGCAGATTATAGGTTTCTCCATTATACATTTTCCACAGACATATTTTTTACATTTGAGATAAGTTTTGGTAGTTTGTCTTTACAATATTTTATTTGATACGTTTTCCGCAAAGATGAAATATTATTCAGATCTGTCGATGTTCCCTATATGTTTTCTTTTTCTTCGTTTTGCAATTCTTGATATTTCGAGGTAAGCTTTTCTGCTAGTTGAAACAGGAATTCTTGTTTCAATATATTTTTTCTTGTTTATATATTGTCTTGTAATATATTGTCTCTTTGTATAAAATTCATGCATATCGGCTAAATCAAGAACGTTGAAAAAAATTTAGCGGGGCCATCTATATGATTTAAATTTCACACTATATTTTCTCGACATTTAGTCAATCATGTTTGTATCAAATTTAATATTATTATAAAATGTAACTGTTTCAGATATTCGCTTTACGCTACTAATGATATTAACGGATTTATACTTTGAACCTGGTATAGGAACTTATTTGTTTTGTTTGCTTTCATAAATTGTGAAAGTATAATTATTCAATTCATAATTTTTTAAAGAGAAGTTTGCCATATTATCTTTCTTTTTTGGTAAATTTTGACAATTATTTTCTGTTGCTTCGATTTGTTCCAACTAATGTAGTCCTTTTTTTTGAAGTTTTGTGGTCAGTGCACTTATAAAAAAATTATCATACGTCGTAACGTTTCTTCCGCATCCTATAAATGGCTCAATCAATTTGAAAACAACAAATTCTCTAAGCGGATTGATGACGGTCTCGTCTCATCTTTTTCCAAACATAGAAATCCGTTTATAATGTATTTACATTTTACATCCGATGCAAAACTTAATTTCAAATTTATCAGGTTTAGCATGTATTGTATAAATCTGTATCTAATTTTAATAGAAAGTAATTATTCATCGACAGTAAGGTTCATAACTGGCTTGTAACTGTTTTCACTATTCTCAGTGAACTTATACTATATATTAGAAATCAGGGCAAATTTATCAGTTTTGTAGGCATCAGCTATGCCCCTTTTTTCAATTAAACTACACACATTTCTGTAAAGCAATCCTTGCTCATTATTAAAAAAAAGACGGATCCCTATTTCTTATTCCATAATTATGAAATGAGCAAATTTTTTGCTTCATATGCACCACGTGTATGATAAAAATAGCAATAAATGCATATATTGCATTTGGAATTAGGTCCTATTTAGTTCCAAGAACTCGATATATTTCAGATTCTGTGCATTTTCGTATATTTTCAACAATATAGTTATTTATTATCAATGAAAATGCTTTTCTTGCTTTACCTTTCATAATATTTCGCCTGACATATTCTGTTGAACCTGATATTTCCCTGAAAATATTATGAAATGGTCTTCCAGATTCCAGACCTACTCGTATTTCTTGCCAAACTTCATCAAGAGTTATTTCGATGTACTGGTCACTTTCATCATTCTCATGTTCAAAACTTGACAGAAATCCTCTTCACTTTTTTCCTCTACGTCCAGAATGTCTTCTTTTTCATCTTCATTTTCAATGTCAAATAAATAATAACTTTTAATTTGAAATAATGTTTAGAAAAATATTTTTACTATTATTATACTAAGTGCGCAACTAAGTTTCCACGTTTTTTTAATCAATGAAAAATGGAAAATTTCAAGAGAAATACAAAAAATGGTTTATTCAAAGTATCGTCCCTCGCTAGCTATACATTTTTGCCATCTCTCTGGCAATACATGAATACCGCGACGATACGATGCGTCTTTGGACCGAAACCATTCATCCAACCAATTTTGCACTTCTTCGAAATTGGCCAAGTGTAGCCCAGCTAAGCCATGCGCCATTGACCGGAACAAGTGATAATCGGAAGGGGCTAGGTCTGGCGAATACGGCGGGTGCGGTAGCAGATCCCATTTCAGCGTTTTGATGGTGTCCTGGACGATGGAAATGCGATGGCACGGAGCGTTGTCGTGCTGCAATATCACTCGTTCGTGTCTCGTGTCCCATTCTGGCCATTTTTCGAGCAATGCATGGTTCAAATTGATCAGTCGTTGTCGGTAGCGATGCCAATTGACAGTTTCGCCCGGTTTCAGCAGCTCATAGTACGCGATTCCTTTCTGGTCCCACCAAACGCAGAGCATTGTCTTCTTTCCAAAGCGATTTGGCTGTGCCGTCGATGTTGATGCTTCGCCAGGTGAAAGCCACGATTTTTTGCGTTTGGGATTCTCGAAATATATCCACTTCTCATCGCCAGTAACAATTCGATGCAGGAAACTCTTTCTTTCATGCAGGAAACTCTTTTCTTCATGCCGCGAAAGCAAAATTTCGGAAGTGGCTCTTCGATTTTCCATCTGTCTCTCAGTCAACTCATGCGGCACCCATTTTCTTTCCTTTTGATTTTTTTCCATGGCATATAAACGTTTGGAAATACCTTGGCGAGTCATGTTTAATGTCTCCGCAAGTTGATCTTGTGTTTACATATCATCTTCATCCAATAACGCTTGCAGATCGGCGTCCTCAATTGTTTTTGGTCTTCCGGAGCGCTCCTTGTCCTCAGTGTCGAAATCGCCACTTCTAAAACGTTTAAACCAATCTTCACAGGTAGTTTTCGATAGTGCATGTTCGCCGTAGGCTTCCTTAAGCAAACGACGTGCTTTAGCTGCATTTTTTTTCAAGTTAAAGCAGAAAAACAAAGCTTCCCGCAAATGTTGTTTATTTGGCACAAAACTCGACATCTTCGTTATTAGAAAAAATATTTTTGCGTTGCGATATGTTGGTATTATGACTGGTTATTGTTAACAGATGTCCAAACTATAAAAAAAACAACTTCAGACATGTATGTCGACTGCATGTGTCGTTAGCGCCATCCATGTGTGAAACCCGGAAACTTAGTTGCGCACCTAGTATGATTAAAAAAATATTTTGATCATATAATAATAGTACTATACTATTTTGTTTCCTTTCAAATTTCGTAACTTTTGTTTAGGACTTTTTTTCGTAAAGTTAATGCGTTTGGCAAAATAAAAATGATTGATTTAAAATGGAGCGGCATTATCTATATTCAAAGTGCGTTACATGGAGGTAACACAATCAGCGGATTTACTCAATACCTATATAAATATATGTGAACATATGCATGTACACATACATGCATGCACGCACATACACATATATATACATATGCACAATATGTAAATTCGACCGCGCAACTTCTATGTAATGCACTTTGCGTGAAGCTAATATTGGCGTAAACTTTAAAACCTTGTAATTCGCATAAATCTGAAGGAAAATAAATATGAATGAATATTTATATTCATAATATTCTTTTATAATATTTATATTTATAATATTCTTAATATCAGTTGTCGAATTATAAAAACGGAAATAGGAGATTCTATTTTTAAAAATTGATCTTGACCTGATTTTGGTGATGCAACCCAAAGTAAAACAATTAACATTATTAAATATATTGCTTATACCCTATAACAAGAATCCTAAATATTTTTCTATAAAATAAATATGTTTTGGTATATCTTCTATTCCGCATTTTCTGCTGTTACACATTTTCTGTAACTATATATTCGAAAAGAGTAAATTTTTTTAAAAAACGTTATTGTTTATTTTACAATAACATTTTTTTTTCAGATATATTTTTTTGAAAAGCATTTCCTATATCTTATCTTTTCTTGAGGTTTGAATACATGTCTATTCAACTTAGAATACAGAAAATATTAAAAAAAAACGCATCTAAAAAAAACAGATTAATTTATGTATAAGATTTTTCTATATCTTTGATAAATTGCAGGAAATTATTAAAGAACGGGAGGAAGAACGGGAAAAACTGCGAAGAGAATTGCGTAGAAGTAGAGAACGTATACATGCACTTGACATTGACGTACAACGCCGAGAATTTTCAGGAGCAACGACCACAACATCTTATACGCAAACAACTCCTGGTTAGTCCTTTAATTTTTATTTTATATTCTCCTTTAATTTTATATTCTGCTTGAAGATTTGTTATTATCTTATAAAATAGAAAACTTAAAATATAAATTATACTTTGATATCATTGTGAATTGTGAATTGAATTGTCAATGTACAAAACATTGTTTTTACAGATGATTTGTACCAAGAAAGTTACACTGATGACCGCACTCGGAACGTAAGAAAGATTTTATAATTTTATTAGTGACAGAAACAGGATATATTAAACATTATGTTGTACTTAATAAGTTTTAATATTAATAGAAAATATTTTCTACATTTTTTAATATATATTGCAATAGTATTACTTATAAAATATAGATGTTTTATATGTGTATATATGTATGTTATAGATTACTTTCTAAATCTATAATGAATAGATAAATAATAATAGCGTTTTATTTTACGCAGAATTACGGCAGAATTAAAATGTTGAAAATAATAACGAAAAGATATTTCTTAAGATCTCTCTATATGATTGCACACCTCATAGAAATTGCGCAACACATATAAAAAATGAATATTCTCATATCGATAACAAAGCGAGCATATTGATAATAAAGTTTTTCCATTATATTAGTATAAATATTTTTAAAATAACAATGTTCTATTTTTAATAAAATGGTCGATCATATAAAACCATAACTTGCAAATTTTAATTATGTTTGTAAAACACTACGAATAGCATCGATAAGCCATAATATGTATTGCATGTTTAGAGTGACCCATTTTAATCCAACCAGTCGAATGTTTTGAAAACTGAGATCGGCAGACCAAAATATTTCAAACAAAAGTTGCATGTCATGATGAAATGTAAAATATCTAAAAAATTGTTAATGAAAAATACTTTATTATAATGTTTTAGAAAGCTTTCGACGTAAGTTACAAGAATATGCGATAAAAAATAGGAAGTTCCATTTAAGAAATTGAAGATGACCTTTACATCACCTTCAAACGACTATTCAAGATCAAGATCAAAATCAAATTATTGTCACCGTTTCATGTCCACCTTAAAACCATACAATTTTTGTCTGAAACATTTTTGTTTGCCGATCTCAGTTTTCAAAATATTCAGTTGGATCGATTAAAATGGGTCACTCCGTATAATGGCTATATTATACAGTATTTTACAAGTTTAAAGACAATCTTAGTCTCTATAGTGTTATTACTTTTACATACTATACTTCTTTGCATTTTGTTATATTTTATATATATTTGATTAGCAGGAGTCCATTGATACGTGCGGAGAAGTGGCCGTAGATGTGGATGCGAGAAACCTTGAACTTAAAACGGAAACTGATGTAATGGGCGACAGCGTTGACTGAAACACAGTTGTAAATCGTCTTATATCAATTATATCCTTAACCATCTGGTGCATTTCAAGAGCGGTGCTGAAACGCTCTCATATTCGTCGAGAAATCAAAATTATTTGTAAAAATATGAAAAACATGGACAACGCATATATATTTGTGCGATACATGACGAATAATTCTTTGCCACAGGCAATAATATACTAAACATATATAGAGCGCTATGCAGCAGAAGATATTAACTGTTTTGTTTATTTAATAACTCGGAAAATTCGACAAAAGCGTACGTTATAAATGCTACTAATCTTTACAGTTAATAAAAATGCAATATATTATTCATAAATTACAATAAAAGAAAAATCCATTTTCATGTATGTTTTTTTATTATCTTCTGCAAAAGACGAGAAGATACATCGTGGAGAATTGTTTTGTGCAACGTTCTTTTTTTTACGCCTCACATTATATGAATTATTCACATATAAAAGACTTCTTTTAGATAATTTTATGCAAGAGAATATCCTGTTAATATATCAAGCAATATATTGGTTTAATACAAGATATCAAAACATTAGATAATTATTAAATATGTTTTATAAATCAATATATTAAGTTGCTATTAATTAAAATATTTACAGTATTATTTACAACTCATGTTTTCGTCGAACTCTTCAAAAGTTATTAAAATAAAGCGGCTAAATTTTACTTTAATTCAGTATGTATCAAAAATTAGTATATATGAGTGGGTGATTAATATCTGCCAAAGATTTTATGTAAATAGATTTACATAATTCGCACTGTATGTATGTGTGTGCGTGTGTATACGCGCGCGCGCGCGCACTTGTGTGTGTAGTGCATGCGCACACATAAAATTCTTAAATGTAACATTTTGTATGTCGTCACGTTATTTTGCGTATAAGATCCTGTATATTATTATTATTATTATTATTATTATTCTATTATTATTATTATCATTATTATTATTGGAAGCCCGGTTTACATATAAAGGAGAATGATAAAATGATGCGCGAAAAAGCTGTAGAAATGTAATGTGCATTAATATAATTATTATTAATTAATTAATTCTCCAAATTGCCCGTGCATCGTATTCGTTATGTCAAATATAAACATGGGCTTCGAATATTGTCTAAACATTGGAAAGCTATGATATACCATATTTAATTTCTTAATTTTTTATACCAGAAATATAAAACAAAATCTTAGCGGAACTTCAAAAAGGCACAATACAAGATACGATTTTCATATGCCTTTCAATTTTTAATGAAAAGCCATTGTTTGCAAATGATAAAAATATAAAATGTATTTTTATATTTGATATCTACAGAAAATATTTGTAGGAAAATTATTTGAAATCTCAACAGAAAGAAAACTTTAAGACGATTTACTTTATCACGTATAATCTTCGTCACGTATATGTAAAATCTATTAATCGTTGAATTATAGTCTTAACATTTTTAAGTTCTTGTTCAAACAACTAAATATTTAAATATTTATTCTAAATCTAAGATTTTTTTTCTGTGGAGATTCTAGACTGATTTTCTCTTAACGTCCAGGAATTATACAATTCAAGGATAAAAGAATTCTAGGACACAAGATTCTAAAAACATCTAATAAATAAGAATATATAATTTTTTTTATATACTATATACAGGGTGCACGATTTATCTGAAGACATTGAAATATCTCGAGAACTATGCATTGGATAAAAAAAAGTGGTTAATGAAAGTTGTTAGTCTCGAAGGAGGACATCCAATGATACCAAACTCGACCTCCCACCCCACCCCCTGGGAGTGGGGGTTGGGGGCAACTTTGAAATCTTAAATGGAAACCCCCTTTTTTATTGCAGATACGGATTCTACGCCACAAAATACGTAAATTTTGTCCAAAACTTTTTTTTTTATTCGTGATAGATGGCGCTGTAATCGCAAAAAATTATATTTTCCGCAATTCTCCAGAAATGATCATTGGATTGAGAAATGAAAAATACCTGTTCAATATTTTTAAAGAACATAATAAAAGTTATTCCCTCCCCCCATCCTCTCGGAGTAGGGTGGATGATAACGTTCAAATTTCAAATGGGGACCCACATTTTTCATTGCAGAATTAGATTGTACGTGAAATTTTTATTGAAACAATTTTTTTCATTCGTGATAGATAGCATTGCACTGCCTTTTATAATAAGCCGTAGTTCGCCATATACCCACAGTGGCGCGTCGAGCAGTTCCTTCTTCGATTCGGGTTCCCATTTGAGATTTGAACGTTACCACCCACCTTACCCCGAGAGGATGGGAGGGGGGAATAACTTTTATTATGTTCTTTAAAAATATTGAACAGGTATTTTTTATTTCTCAATCCAATGATCATTTCTGGAGAATTGCGAAAAATATAATTTTTTGCGATTACAGCGCCATCTATCACGAATCAATAAAAAAGTTTCGGACAAAATTTACGTATTTTGTGGCGTAGAATCCGTATCTGCAATCAAAAATGGGGGTTTCCATTTAAGATTTCAATGTTGCCCTCAACCCCCACCCAGGGAGTGGGGTGGGAGGTCGAGTTTGGTATCATTGGATGTCCCCCTTCGAGACTAACAACTTTCATTAACCACTTTTTTTTATCCAATGCATAGTTCTCGAGATATTTCAATGTCTTCAGATAAATTGTGCACCCTGTATATAGTTGGTGTACTTAAAGTAAATCTATTATGTATAAATAGCACTGGACGATTCTCTTCTATACGGGGTTGTAAAACAAATATGTCATAATAGTCTTGATGAAATTTTTAAAATTGTTTCTGTGCAAATAAAGTTTTAATTTATTTAATTTAAGATAGATTCCATCTATATTAAATAAACCACTTTGTGAAATGGTCAGAAAATAAATTTGCACAATTTGAAAACATTTATGCATTTTATATATAAAATATAAAGCACATAGAACTTGAGCAATGAAAGCCCAAAAATTTTCATATAAAAATTCTTAGAAACCGAGGTTTTAACAAACAAAAATTAAAAGTTAGAGAAATTTACAAGTCTATAAGCTTAAAGCTATATTAACATTTGAACTTCCAGCTAAATTTAATTGAATTATGAAAAATACACTTTTCATATACATATCTTTTGGACATCTTTTGTATGAATAAGTTTAATATTGATTTTATAGAAGTATAACAAATAATTGGTTTTTTCCGCAAAACCAATATCATATTCATTTATGATGCTAAATAATATTCTTTATGAGATATAAATTTCTTTGTAAGGACTGTATATGTAATCTATATTAAATTGATTATTTAGAATTTTGCAGAGGTATTAAGAATTTTAAGGGTTTTTAATGATTTCTGCGATTTCGGATTTTAATGAATATAGAAAATATATAGTAATTCTTGCAACTTACAACCTTGTAATTAATCTTTTTCACGAAATAATTATTTATTTCACGAAACAATTGTAATTTCATAAAATAATTATAAAATATCCACATGTCTAATTTTTGATTATATATATATCCCATAAAAATGTCTAATAATTATATATATCGTGATTATATATGTCGTATACTGAATGTCTAACACAAGACGTCCACACACATGCGTAAAGGTAAAACACTTCAACTTGAACACTAAGGACCTCTGTCATCTTGTAAACAACTACATGAAATTTCGGAATATTTAATAAAAGAAAATTAACAAATCAATGCATGCAGCAAGGTGGGAAGAACTCTTAGATGTGAGTTTACTAAAAATAGCTGAAACGTGATTGCCTTTTAGCAACAGTAGCTATCGGCTGGCGCCTAGCAGGAGGCTGACAATAATCATTTTTCGCACGTAACTCGTGTCCTATTAATGTTCCACCTTTAGTTGCTAACTAATAGCTACTGTTGTTAAAAATCGGTTGCGTTTCAACCATTTTCGCTTAGCTCACATCTGCAGAGCTCGTCTTATATCGTCGCACACACTGATTCACTAATTTTCTTTTATTAAATATCTTGAAATTTTATGTAGTTTTTTTATAAAATGACAGTGGTCCTCGTGCTCAGGTGCTTAGGTTGACATGCTCTATCTTCATACACAGGTTGAAACATCTTACGTTAGGCAACCTGTATATCTTATTAATTCATATTTTTTTTATTTTATCGAGTTAAATAATTTTATCAACCACAAGTATTATTTGTAATTTTTTTATTCTTAATATTCCAATTTACGACAACTAATGCAGATACAATTGATTTTTAAAACTGCATTACATGAGTACACAAATAATTTTGATATTTCCAAGAATACTAGATTGTGTTAGTTACAATCAGGAATCCAAAGTTCTACATTGCTCTACAATTTTGCAAATAGTTAATTAACGCGACTAATTAACAAAAGTTGAAAACTAATTTTCTTTTCTTTTCATTTTTCATTATTCCCCTTCTTATGTAAATTGGGCGACTAAGTATATTGAACTCATCTACTTACATAAAATCTTTGCTACTATATGAATATTAATAATTTCTAATAATGTGAAATATAAAACCAATTACGAAAGATTCAACGTTATTATATATATATATATATATATATATATATATATATATATATAAAGAATATTTAATAATACATAATTGATATTATTATTGCTATTATATTAAAAATTGTTATAAATCGTGTATATAATTCTTCACTCATTTTTCTAATGCTAGTTATATCTGTGAAAGCTTGTCTTAATGAGTTTCGTTGATGTATTAAACAAAATAAGAAAGAAAACATTAAGTATAAGTGCACGCTCAATTTCCGTGACATAGGTTTACTAATTTCTTTAAATTTTATACATATATATAAAATTAGTTGTACAAAGGATCATAAAGAAACAAAATTTATTCAAACAAAGAATCCATGTGAACAAAATTCCATTAAGTTTTACCAATTTATTATTGATACCAATGTATAGAGAAATAAGTATCAACGATTAATTTATCTTATCATTCTGTGTATGTATTAAGTGTATGAAGTTTATGAATGAAAAATGAATAGTTTATAAGATATTGCATATCTGATACTGATGGCTATTAGGATAAAATGTAAAATATAATTTGGAAAATATTCACTTTTCGATAATTTCACTTCATTATTTTTATATATAGAATGACCAGCGAAATTAATTCACGTTAAAAAAAACTGTATTTCCATTAAAAAAAAATTAAACATAATCTTTACATGATCTTAACAAAATCATTGAAGGTCAAATGAATAACATCATATATCTCCCTTAAAACTTAAAAATTTATGTCTGCAACATTTTTCTCAATATAATAATATATAGTTTCAGAATTATTAGCATGTTCTATTTAAAACAAGATATTTTGTACACACAGATATGCATACACATACATAAGATATTTGAAAATTTTTAGGCTTTGGGTGCTCACTGCGACTATATTGAATAGTGACGTCGAGGCAAGAATGATATGATGAAAATTCTTGTACGCTGTTTCCAAATCAAAAGATATTTGTGTGAAAAATACTTCAGATCGCTGACTTGTGAAATACTTCGAACATTATATTTCTTCTTTGACAATCTAGAGACGTCTATAAAGAGAATCAAGAGATAAAGTGAAGCAGATTTATTATAAATTCGCTATTTTCAAATAGTCTTTTGGTAACGAGAGGGATATATTTAATTATATTTAATTATATTTAATATATAAACGTCAAATCTTAGTTACTTTTACATATAGACTAGTATAGACCAAGAACAATTCTGCCACCGCTTATGAAGCGGTGAACGCATTGAGAAGAACAAAAAAATTCCATATTGTTTTGTGATATTTGCAATAATATTAATTTTAAGAATGACATGAATAAATGCGCGCCGAAATGGCATGAAAAGAATATAGCTACAGTGCAATTCAGTGGACTTATCAGAAGCTGCCAGCGTGAGCCGAGGAGAAGGAGAACGTCCTGCTATTCCTGCTTACATCACTGCTTCTACGTCTCGTCGCCATCACTCCATGGCTTGTGTCAATGGCTATTACACTCACAATTACAATTACAAAATCACTTTATAAAATAGCAAAAGTAACTTGAATTGAAATCGTAATAAATTTCTATAAATTGTTATAAAAAATTGAAGGAGAGAAAGTGATAGAAATTGATAGAATCTCAATATATTCTATTGCACTCTACCGTTCCCTGTTAGGAAAATATTCAATCGTTGAAACATACTAGTAATAGAAATCCTACAGAGCGACTTACCGTAGACTATCATTTTATCATTGTTGAAACTTATCATAAATAAATTAGTCTATCATCATCTATCGTCATTAGTAGCGTATTAAAGATTTATCTCTTTTAAGAGACCTAAAGTTTTCTATGGTACAGTTACGATAAAATCGTTGTTACCTCATCTAGTTATTCCAAGATGACGTGAAAATAGTTTTTCTTTGTTATGAAATAATTTTATTTTGGGAGGGTATACTTGGAATCATTTCAAGTAGAACACAATTGTAATAATAATCGTTCCCTTGTATAGCAAAAAATATCTACAAAGGATTAGCATATAGATTTTTATACCAGCTGCGATTTTATACTTTATCTTCTTAGAGCTTACAATGCACGAAATATTTATAAATAATATGTTATGATTTTTATAATAATATAGAATAATAATATAGAAAAACATTTCTCTTGACATAACGACTTCACGATAAATTACGATTTATTTTCTAAATGTATTTTCTAAATGTCTAAAGATAATAATGTGAGAATATTGTTAAGCACGGTATGTTGTGTTGCTCGTCATTTGATTGCCGGTCAATTGATGCTGAGCAGACGATATGATGGGCCGTGCCATCGAAAAATCAATAAAAAAGATATCTTTTTAAAGGTTATTATTATTCAAGAAAAACCTAACCACAAAAAATATACGTAACATAAGTTTTTACATGTAAAATTTGTAAAACTTACCTTTTTAAACAAAAAGGTAAAAAAAAGACGCCAAGTACAAGCGCAACACATATTGTGTTATTTTTAGAAATTTCAAATTCAAATTATTTTTTTTAAGTTATATATGTGTACATATATGTGTATACAGGGTGTTTGATAGCTGATCATGCAGACGAAAGTTGGAGATAGATTGGGTGTAGCCGAGAAGAAAAGTCATGTACTATAATGTCAAATTGCCAATAGTTATCGAGTTATTAATTAAAACATGTGAGCCAACGAGCGCGTAGAGAGCGGAGGGCGACCGCAGTAAGCACATAGTCATTTGATACGGCGGAGTCAGTGAGTAACAGTAGGCGAGCGCGCGCGGCGAGGGGCAACATAAACAACAAGAGGCGAACGCGCGCGACGAGAAGCGAGCGAGCGCGAACGACGAGGAGCGAGCGAGCATAAGCGACAAGAGGCGAGCGAGCGCGACGACGAGGAGCGAGCGAGCTATAAGGAGAAACCTATAAAGAAAAAGCTCGCTCGCTCCTCGTCGCGCGCGATCGCCTCTTGTCGCTTACGTTGCCCCTCGCCGCGTGCGCTTGCCTACCGACACTCATTGACTCCGCCTGTATCAAATGTCTACACAGTCTGTCCCAGATACGATGAGACTAGAGTCCCTAGAAATCAGAGTCTGGACACAGTCGTCTAGTAGGACAAAACATGGCGTCGTAGAGAAATACCAATTAGTCCGATATAAATCCGTAAATTGTTATAAAGAAATTAGGAGCAAATACAAAAGGTAAGTTATAATGTAACGCTATAAAAAATAAAATAAAATATATGTGTATAGTAAATAAATATATCTGTCTATATATATTTGTGTGTGCATTCTCTCATAAATATTATTTCCTAACCTTTAATGTCATTAATGTTTAATACCAGTTACATAAATTTTGTAGAAAATGCCGTGTTGTTGTGTGTCAAATTGTTCGAACCGAACAAAAAAAGGGTACTCAATGAGGAGCTTCCCAACAAATAGTGGACGGAGGACAGCATGGATTGATAATATCAATATCCATAGCGATAAAAAATTGTCAAAGCACATAAAACATAATTTATTCGTATGCGAAGTAAGTTAACATAGTATGATTAAATATATAAATCTAACTTATATTATACTTATAAAAATATAAATATTATCTTGAATAATATTTGTAGGTCCATTTTGCAGCAGACATGTGGGAAAAAGTGCGAGTGGATGGTAAGAAAAAATTGAAAGCACATGCTGTTCCTACAGTTTTTTCCTCTCCAAACAATGCAAATATTCCAGCTGCGGAAGAAAACATACATGTATGTATGGGTTTCAACTGTAGTTAAAAGTCTAATAGCATCAATGTAAGGGCGATTGTAAAACAGTTTCAATTTTCATAGATTCGTGAAAATAACGCAGCACAATCCACAAATAACCTTATTGAGGCTCCTACATCATCATCAAAACGACCTGCCATAGACATGGATATAAACACGGGAAATGATGCAAAGAGGTTGCGGAGAAGTGTAACGGATGAGTCAATCACACTTGCAAGTGATGAGTCAATCACACTTGCAAGTGATGACACTGTGAAGATCCTGCAAAGAAAACTGAATGAAGCCAACAAAAAACTAGAGAAAGCAAATACCATCATCCAGAACAGTGAAACAACAAACAGAATTCTTCGGCAGCGTCTACAACAAATAAGAAATCCCACCAAGATGCACAGTGAACAAAACAATTCTTTGGAGTTTTTGAACAAAGTATTTCATAAAGATCAGATAGCCTATCTTAAAGCAAAATATAAAGGACGCCATATACGTCAGTGGACAGAAGAAACTGTTAAAAAAGCATTCCAACTCAAACATGCATGTGGGGATAACGGGTATGAGGAATTATTACGCCACGATATTCCTTTGCCTTCAACCCGTACTCTACGCAGGCGTTTAGAATGCATTACTTTTAAAGATGGAATTCTTGATGAAGTGTTCGACTTATTAAAGGAGAAAGTGTTAACGTTTCCAGATGAACGATATAGAGATAGCATGATGTGTGTTGATGAAATGAGCTTAACACCCGGTGAACAAATAGATCCCAGCACCAATCAAACGATTGGATATGCTACTATTCCTAATACATCTGGTAAATCCTTAATTTATAAAAATAATAACAAACAAACAACATCCTGACGAAAATGAAACGCTTTATAAACATTTATACAAAATCGGTATACAAATGCTTTCAAACGCTAAATGTTGCAATTTCCTCTCTACAAACTTTCTACTAACGTTTCTAAACTCTCAACGAACAGTCATTTAAGATTAACATTAAACTTCTCATTTTCGTCAGGACGTACAACAACATAATACGCTTTTGAATGTGTCATTTTCACATCTCTTCATTTCTATCTATTTGCTTTATTGTTCTATTTGTGTGATTCTATTTTGCTTATTTTTCTATTTGTGTGATTCTATTTTGCTTATTTTTCTATTTGTGTGATTCTATTTTGCTGATTTGCATTATTGCATGCTTTTATAGGAACAATGCCTCATGCTACGCATGGTTTGGTATTTATGATTTGCGGGATATTTACACGGTGGAAGCAAATTGTGGGATATTATTATACTCCCAACGGTTTCAATGGTGCAATTCTAAAAAGAAATTATTCTAAAACTAATAGAAAAAGCAGAATCAATAGGTTTACTAATTCATAGTATCACATCTGACATGAGAGGAGTTAACCAGGGCATGTGGAGAGCTTTTGGACATATATCTGCAACAAAATATACCAACATTAAAAATTCAGTCCCACATCCATTAGATAATAGCCGCAAATTGTTTTTCTTTGCCGATGTTCCACATCTCTTAAAAAACGTGCGATCTGCATTGATAAATAATAAAATTATAATATTGCCACAAAATTTCGCTGACTTATACAAGCTATCTTCATGCATTGTGAAATGTTCGCATGTCCAAGAATTAGTTGCTGAACAAGAAAACATCACATTTAAATTAGCACCAAGATTAGATAACGATACTGTAACTTTAACAAATTTTAACAAAATGAAAGTCAATAAAGCAACCACTTTGTATAACAGAAATGTCAGTAGTGCACTACAATTTTTAGGAGAAGAGTATAACAAAAGTGAATACAAAGTAACTGCCTTATTTATTGAAATAGTATCTAAGTGGTTTACTCTGATGAGTTCTCGATCTCTTATAGTCGCATTAGGAAAAAAAGAAGGAGACGAAAAATCGCTAAGCACATTTCAGCAAAGTACAGAGTTTCTAAAATCAGTTATTGATTTATTTTGTAATATTAAGATTGGAGGAGATGGTAAATTTAAGCCTGCACAATGCGGTATTATGATCAGTATTACATCTTTTATAGACATGACAAATTATTTAATTGATAAACGAAGTTATTCATATGTGTTGGGCGCAAGATTCACTCAAGATTGTGTAGAAAACTTATTTTCAAGCATTAGAAAAAAATTTCCTGTGCCCAATGCACTACAATTCAAACAATGTTTAAAGATACATTGCGTTTCACAATATTTACAAGTTTTAAGTAATACTAATTACGAACAAGATGAGGGTGCCTTACTTGTTAATTTTTTACAAACTTGTCGAAAACCTTTTTTTTTTTGGTAACGCAGGGGAAATCCATCATGGATACCCCCTCCCCTTTGGGGGGGAGGGGGTTATGTCGGACTCTTACCGATTAAAACCCCTGCGGGATATCTACCTGTCGGGCCGTTGGGGGAACTGCTCCCGCATTCCCTCCCCAGCCCCCCGGCCCCAGGACTCTCCGGGAGCCCCACGCCATCAATGTACCGCGCCCTGTCCCACAAAGGGAGTCCAGGGCGCGGTCCCCGATGGGTTGCCCCACCGGTTGGCAACCCTGGTCACACCTATTAGGAGGACGGGGATATCCATCCCCCCTTTACCCTTCCCCCCTTGCTAATCAAGGGGGGAGGGTTTTGGGGGAGTGGGCCCGGCCCCAACCAGGACACCACTCCCCCTTTACCCTGCCTGTCCGACCGCGCGGGGGGATCTAGGGAAACCTAGTCCCCCCCGCCCGGACGGTGGCGGGCCCGAGGCGGCCGAGAAGTCCCCGACCTGTCGCTATCGACAGGCGAGTCCTCCCCGGCCGACGCCACCTCGGGTCCGCTGCCGATTCCTCCTCCCGGGGATCGTCGACCGGTGCGTCGCCTCCTGCGACGCACTCCCACTCCGACGTTCCCACTCCGCGGCCTCCTTCTGCGAGATCACCTCTCTGCAGGAGGCTACTGCGTCCCACGTCTCCTCGCTCCCGCACATGGCCATGACCATGCGCGGGAGCGAGAGCTCCCCCCTTCGGCACCCCACCGCCCCCTCGAGGACACGGCGCTCCCCGTCCCATGCTGAGCATGCGGATAGGGTGTGATGCGCCGTGTCCTCGAGAATGGGGCAGTGGTGGCATCGAGTGGTGGGCTCCTTTCTTATCTGGTGCAGATACCGACCGAAGCAGCCGTGCCCGGTCAGCATCTGCACCAGGTGGAAAGTCATTCCACGTCCCCTCCTGCCCATCACCTCAGACAGACAGGGGCGGACAGCCGCGGCCGTCTTGGGACCGGACACCTTCGGGTCGGACAATGCGTCCTTCCACCTCCGAAGGGTCCGGTCTCTGGCCTGGAGTTTCAGGCCCTTCATGTCCCTGGCCCTTAGCGTCCCCTCCGCGCGGAGCTCCTTCACCCGCCAGTAGAGGACAGACCTCTCCTCGGCTAGGAGCTCCACGGGAGGGACGCCAGCCAGGGTGGTCGCCGCCATGTATGACACGGTCCGATACCCTCGAATCGCCCTTATCAATACCGGCCTCAAGGCCTGCCGGAGGGAGCGTTTTCCCCTCCGGCAGACCAAGAGGCTGGGCGCCCATATGGGCGCCCCGTATAGGGCGATCGAAAGCACGGCCGTGACATACAGGCGGCGTGCCATCCATCCTGGGCCCCCCTGGGCGCACATGAGGCTGGCAACTGCCAGACCCGCCTTGCGCACCCGGGGAGTCAGGTTCCCAAAGTGGGGCCCGAAACTCCAACGGCTGTCCAACGTCAGGCCGAGATACTTTATCGTCGGCCCGACGTGGACGTGGACGCCATCCACAAGGACCTGAGTTTCCGGAGGCGCCCCTCGACCTCGGCCGTAAAAATATATGGTCTTGGTCTTCTGGGGCGCCACCGAGAGGTCCAGGTCCTTCATGGTGCCCACCACCGATGCCAGTGCCGCCTCCGCGCGGAGGCGGGCTTCCCCCCAGTTCTCCCCCCCGGCCACCACTAAAGTGTCATCTGCTACGCAGATGACGTGGCAGCCTGGGAGGAGCGGAGTCTCAGCACCCGGTCGAACGCGATGTTCCATAGCAGGGGGCCTAGAACGGACCCCGCGCGGAACACCGCGCTCCACGGTGCGCCGGCCCTGGACCCCGCCCTTCACTGGGAAGGCGAGGTCCCTGCCCCCGAAGTAGGCCGAGAGGATGCGCCGGAGATAAGCGGGCACACCGTGATACACGAGCGCCCGCCCTATCTCCGGCCACGGCAGGGTGTTGAAAGCGTTCCTTATATCCAAGGATACGGCCAGCAACACCCCGCCGTCCCTCTCCACGACCGCCTGGGTCAGGCCCCGGAGACACTGGACGGCGTCCAGCGTTGATCTCCCGGGCCTGAACCCAAATTGGCGATCGTGGAGGTTCGGCCCCTCCGAGGACAGGTACCGGACGAGGCGGTCGGCAATGATGCGTTCAAGCAACTTGCCCGCCTCGTCCAGCAGGCATATCGGTCTGTAGGCCGACGCACTACCGGGTGCTTTGCCCTCCTTGGGGAGGAAGACCAACTTGGCCCTCCTCCACTCTGGGGGGAATACATCCTCCCTGAGGCACCCGCTCAAAGCCCTGCGCGTGGCCGCGAACAGGTTTCCCTCGCCGAGTGCGAGGGCCCAGGCGCGGCCAGGAATTCCGTCGGGGTCAGGGGCCTTGCCCTTGACCCCGAGCCTCTTCCTGGCCCCAGCGAGCTCCTCTGGACTGACCTCCAGGCCCTCATCCCAATCTCCCTCCTCCATTTCTGGGGGAGGGATCACGGGTGGGTCCCCTTCTGCCCTCGGGAAGAGGGCATCCAGGAGCCCGTTGAGGGCCTGGTGGTCCAACTGTTCGGTCGGTGGGGGCGCCCAAGGGCGAATCTTCCCAGTCACCCTTTTGTAAGGGCGCCCCCACGGATCGTCGTCCAGGTAGCTCACTAGTTGCTCCCAGGCCGCTCGCTTTGCCTCGGCGATGGCGGCTTTTAGGGCCTCCTTCGCTCGGAAGTAGTCCCTTTTCGTCCCCGCGACATCTCCACCGTCCCGCTGGGCCCGTGTTAGCAGCCGTCTGGCTGCTATGGCGGAGCATCGGAGCTTACGCAGCTCCTCGCTCCCACCAGTACGTGACCTGGCAAGAGCGGGAGCGGAATGGGGGCATCGCGACGTCGCAACACGACGTCACGATGCCCACTATTTCCTCGGCCCCTTTGCAGGGGTCGGGGTCCCGCCCCCTGGCACCCCCCAGGTGCCAGGATGCCTCAAGGACAGCCGCCCGAAACCTCTCCGCGTCCAGCCGATTGAGGGCTCATCTCTTGGGAAGAGGGAGTTCCCTCTCCCCAGGGCGGCGAATGAGCATCTGCTGGGGTTTGGGGAGGCGGAGGGTCCACACTATATGTCTGTGATCAGACAGTGATTCCCCCTCCGCCTCCACTTTCCATTCGTGGAAGAACCCTGCAGCCGAGGGGGTCGCCTAGGTCAAATCAATGACCGAGGCTCCACGCCCCCCGGCCGCACGCAGGTGCTCTCTGAGCCTTCATTCATTAGAATGAGGCCCAGTCCCGCCGCCCAGCCGATCACGGTGTCTCCTCGGCGGTCCCGTTGTCGGGGACTGCAACCCCACCCTTCCGAGTGGGCGTTGAAGTCCCCGGCAATTATGACTGGTCGGGGATGGCACCTTCGCACCAATTCCCCGACCCTGTCCAGGACCTCCTTTATTGGGGCTGAACGACCTAGACCGGCCCTATTTTTGTGGTGGGGAAGATACGTCTCCACTACAGTAATGGGCCCTCAATCGACTGCCACGTACGAGGGCCCCGATTCCCTGAACACACACGGTGGGGCCCCCGTCGCAGGGTTAGCCACCAAGGCCACCGTGCCATCCGGACCGACGAACCAGTTCGCACTGCGAACCGGGATCCAGAACGGCTCGGTGACTACTGCCAGCCCGGCGCCCAGCTCAGTCATCCTCTGTAAACAGAGGTCCTGAGCCTGGGCGCCGTGGCCGACGGTGGCCTGTAGGACCCGGAGTGACGCGAAGGCTAAGCCTTGCACGCCTCCTCCGGGCTGCCTACTTCAACCTCCCCCTGGTCATCCTCCGATGGCAAAGCCGTCTTGGATTCCCTGTGGGAGGTTTCGGCCGTGGTGGCCTCCTCTATAGATGCCTCCGCGGAATGGCGGGGGGTTCCTACCTTGGCGATTTTCTCCTCTCGGGAGTACGAGGAGGAATCGGCTAACTGGGGAGATGGAGGTGGCGTTCCGTCCATCTCCCCTCCCTCTACGGTTGTTGGGGGTCCGTAGGCTCAACCCTCCTCACCTTGGAGTCCTCCTGTTCCGTGTCCTCCGTCGTGGGGTCCGGATCCCCTCTGCCCTTCTTCTTCCTTCCAGTTGCTGCAGGTGACTCCTCCTTCCATCCTTGTGTGCCTGCCGCC